ATCCACTCGTTATTTTCCTAACACCACTTTATATGTATTCCCCATCTTCCGCTTGAATTTGCTTTGACCTTCCAACCTTCATTTCGCTCTTTTATCCAAATGGACAACCAAAAGACAGCAACCAAAACCGGCGCACGAAAGTGCATGGTTAATGGTTGTAAAACTGGAACTGGAATCTGGAGTTTACCTCCAGGGGTTCATTAGGCAGCTTCCGAAGTGAAAAGTTTTCATGAAAGAATCGATTACAACTGTTCATAACTAGCAATACTAATAATAGTAATAAAACTTATTAATATTTTATCTGCTAAAGTTGCCTGTTTTCCTGAAATGAATGGGTTACAACAAATGAGCTATTCACGATACACAATACAATGCACAATATCAAGGATGGCTTTGCTCGGATTACTTTATTTCGTTCATCACTATAATTGCAGGTGATACGAGCAATTAGAAGACTATTGGAAGCATCCGATGGGGTTTGTGTGTGCCTGTAACTCAACGACTCTGAATCTCTTTCATACCACTGAACTATTGGAACCAACCAAATGTCCTTCACACACATGCACAATAACTGGACAGTAATTACTGAATTATTTTGTACACGTAAAATCATCTGATAACTTCTTTTATAGGCCAATCTGAGCAGCATCTCGGGGATTTCGGAACTTTCATTGTTACGTAATTTGCGGCAGTGCAAACAAAGATTTCGCGTGTGCATGTTTCAGACTCGCTTATTGTAGTTGAATCAGACTGACATATTCGTAATTTCATATAAACCGATTAAACTGGCTCACAAAAAGCCTTTCAAATGAGCCAAAAATCTGATCAGTAATGTCCACTAATTCTGGTTGATACCAACAGATTCGGGTAGTTATTATTACAAAAAAATATTTTATTTTTATTCGATGAGATATGATGCAACCATGTTTTGTTTTGGTTTTATTTACAAACGAGCAGTGTACAGTTAGTATTCAAAAAGAAGGGTAACAACCAGTAAAAAGCTTCTTCTCGGTTGATTTGATTCTTCCTCTCAAAGCTGGCCCACATGATTGGATCCACAATGAACTTTCAAATTAAATAGTTTACATGTTCATCCAGTTAATGGGTTTACCACCAATCATTCACGAGAAAAAACATCATCACCTACATCTACGAACATTGGAGTAGTTTAATCAAGGGTTCATACCCCAAATCTATTGTTCAGATAAGCAAGTTAACTAACATTTATCAAATAATCCTGTTCATTTCCGAATAACCTCTCTTTTGATCTTTTGAAATATGTTGAGTTTCTGTTTTTTCTAAGAGGGGATAACCAATACAGGTAAAACTGTGCTGTTTGTGCTTATCTATTTGTTCATTACGGAACTTGTTTTCGCCAACGTTTTCTCAGGGAGTTCACTGTTGTTTTCAATCAAATCTCACATGATCGAATCATACTTTTGCAGAAATCACGAAAGAGACTTAATTGCATAATTTGTCCTTACCGTTAAATTTCACTCAGAGATTAGTTGGTATCCACACAATATGCGTCATTTACTTTGTGCTTTACCTGTTGAATTTCTCATTTTGCTGCTCGAAAATTCTAAATGGTTTTCAGAACTCCGTAAATTTGTATCCATCTGCCACGGCTTAGAATACACATTCCATGTATCCACGCGGTTTACCACCACCCCCCCCCCTCCAACATATCAAACCACGCAAAGAAATTTTCCACTGAAGTTTCATTTGATGTAATATCCTCCAGTTCAAGCGATCAAGCC